TTATTATCGTTTGTGAATGATGCATAATAATATTTGCATTAGAATAAAAATATTTATTCGTTTGTGAATGTTTTATAAAAATATTTGTGGTTTGATTTGATTTGATTTGTTTACGATCAGATCACATTGAATGGGTAGAATATATTTATGTGTTGATGGTTGGTAGTTGAGGTGTTAGGTGGATGGCGTTTGGGAGTGGTTTGTGGAATTGGGAAGGGATTTTGATTTGGAGGGGGTTGATGTGATTTGGGTGTTTGTTTGTTTATTTGTTTGATATGTTGAGATGGAATGGAATGTGATCTGTAATGAGATCAGTGTTATTGATTGATCGATTGATTGATTGATTTAGTGATTGATTTGATTTGGAGTTGGGAAGTTGAAAGCTTGAGCTGAGGTCACGTCACTTCACGTGAGGTCACGTCAAACTCACGTCAGGTCACATAAAATTTCAGCCAGTGCCATACGAGAGCGGACTGGCCGGCGAGGGACTATCGCCCGGCAAATCGCTANTGATATTCGCCACCCCCGAAAAGAAAGGCAAACGTTTCCACATCAATCTGCTCAAGAAGAACGGCGATATTGCGCTGCATTTCAATCCGCGATTCGACGAAAAGGTTTCTTTTCACAATATCAAGCAGGAGATAAGTTACAGTATCCCAAATTGAAGTTACAGTATCCCAAATTGAAGTTACAGTATACCAAAATAAAATTACAGTATGCAAAAGTAAGGTAAAAGTATACCAAACTAAAATTACAGTACGCAAAAGTAAGGTTAAAGTATGCTAAGATAAAGTTACAGTATCCCAAACTAAAGTTACAGTATGCCCGAATAAAGTTACAGTATGCCAAATTGAAGTAGTTACCGTATACCCACTTAATTGAAGGCAATCGTTCGCAACTCGTTGATCAGCGGCGAATGGGGTAACGAAGAGCGTGAGGGTAAGAACCCACTCGAGAAGGGCATTGGTGCCGATCTGGAATTCCGAAACGAGGAGTACGCTTTCCAGGTGAGTCATTAACTCTTAAATTTTGTCATTTTGTCACTTGAATTTTGTCAAATTTTGTCATTTTGTCACTAAAATTTTGTCAAAATTCACTTTTACCGCAAAATTCACATGCAAAATTGATTACTACTACTGCAACAGCAACAAAATTTTGTGTGTTCTCGGCAAAATTACCAATTTTTATCGAGTTTGTAATCAATCCAGTGGGGAAATATTCACTCTGTGTGTCTGCCACACACTATTTCGCCACACTTTTTTTCTCTGACTTCCTCTTGGAACCCGTTCGGCATTGAGCGCAGCGGCGAAATTGACTGGAAGGAAGCTATAAATTGGATAGCTCTAAATCGATTACTGGAGGAATTTTTTTCTCTTTTGGTCTGAAAAATGGCGATTTCCGCCAAATGAAATCGATATATCCGTCCGCCCGTCCAGCATCCATTTCTATACCTGTTTCTCTCAAATTCCCGTTGTATTTCGGGCAGCTTTTCATGTCAACACCAACTTTTTCGTGGAGTTTTTGCAGAGTTAGTGGTTTGGTTACTAAGCAACCAACCAAAGCAACCACAAACAATACAGCGTAATTAGTAGTGAAAGAATAATATATCATGTTAAGGAAATTAAATAAATTCCTCCAATAGAAGCTAAAAATTTTTTTGGCCGTCTATAGACACGCAATCAAGCAAGCAAATTGATCAGATGAGATTGGGTGCTGTCGGGTGTAATTGAATTCTCGAGGAACATTCAAAATGGATTGAAATAAAATTGTGAAAATATTTAAAGATATCGCAGTTTGCAGGGGGCATCTCATGTGTTTTACGCGAAAGAATAGAGCAGCAGAAGCAGCAATGGGAAGAGGGGGACATTTTACCCCTTTCCGGGGGGATGATTTACCCCTTTATGGGGAAGTTTTACCCTTTTATGGGGATGTTTTACCCTTTAAGGGGGACATTTTACCATTTTATGGGGGGACATTTTACCCCCGTATGAGCTTAAACCTAATCGTAAGCTCGAATCGACACGTGTGATCATTAGCTGAGACCGTCAACCTAAAGCTGAGCCAAGCCTAAGTGGGGTCGCAGTGAGGTCTTGTCGCGTTCGGCCTGAAATGATTTTTTTGAGGGGGGGGGTTGGTTACGGTATTTCAGGTGTTACGGCATCCTCCTAATTCAGGTTACGCGCTTTGCTGTACTGTAGAGGTGCGCAGTTGGTGGCGATGCGTAGCAGCGGCAGCTATACCGTATACTGTATACAGTTTACAGTATGCTGCTGTTCGCTGATTGGCTGCGCGGAATTTCTTTTGATGTCTGCTTCTCTTCAGATCTTCATTGATGGCGAACGTTTCGCCACGTACGCTCACCGTCTGGACCCTCACGATATCAACGGTCTTCAAATCGGTGGTGACGTCGAAATTACCGGTATTCAGATGGTCTGAGAGTTGTGGCCACGCCCCCTAACGCCCC